CATGGAGGTGTGTCGGCACACGAACTGATACATGCTGCAGCAGATCGCAGATTGTGGTGAGGCATGATCACCCACGCCAGTCGGCAAGGCACCTGATGATGATGATATGGGGAGTAGTTGTGAATATGAGCGCGTGTGAATGTGTAAGAACTGTGTGTAACGAGGTGTTGTATATATTTAGGTGAATAACCATTTGCGATTGAAGATGTTAAAGAAACAGAAACATGTCAAGGTGTGAACAGATGTGACTTCGTAAATGTTTATGTCAAGGTGCAGACAGATTTGATCTGGTAAATGTTTACATCAAGGTGCAGATAGATTTGACCTAGTAAATGTTTAGGTCAAGGTGCAGATAGATTTGACCTGGTAAATGTTTAGGACTTAATAGAAATGAAATTAGGGGGGAAATATGACCTTACTGGCTGAAGGTAACAGTTGCTTTCTTCTTTTCTTCGCCCTTAAAAGCGTGGTTGACGAGTTTTGTTGTGGTTTACAGCCTTCCGTTTCTTTTCTTGTATCCATATTATTCTTAGTGCCGCTAGGCGTCACAGGTTACCAGATTGTCCGTAAATGTGCCGCATGAGAAAATTGCTGTCTCTCTAGCTACATCATTGCTTTTGTTACCGCGATCACCTCCATAGTCAGACTACTTGTAGTCGAGGCAAAAGCCTGTGTGCCTCAAATGTGTTTCTGACTCAGTTTTTGATGGGCAGCCTTCCTTAAGCATCTCGTCCCACAGGTATTAATTTTTTTTTGATGGAGCCATTGCTTTTCAATGTTGTCTAATCAGTTTTCCTCTTCTTCTTCGCGTTCGCCACTCACAAGCTGTAAACTCCTGCGGAGAGTTCTAGATGTTCATCTACTTCTGGACTTTAGTCATGTTCCACAACCTCAGTTTTACATGCATATCAATTTCACAGATATGGCTTACTTTTATGCAGTGTTCGTTCTGTGCTTCCCAGGCAGATGCACTTCGACTTCGGAGGGAACCCTCTAAATAGTCTACCCTTATGACATTCTTGTTAGGGGATGTGGGGCCACACTGAGGTCCCAGAATCGATACAAGGAGTCAAAATCAGTCTGTGCCTGGTCCTTTAACATTAAAGCATTATTGCATGGATTACTGCTGCCCCAACTGACTTCCAATGCTCTGGTAGAATGAATGAACAAACTTTATTTTCCCAGGGTCAGAAATTAGGCACGTAGACACAAATTACGACTGGCTGTTCTAACCAAACACCCTTCAGACAGCAATTACATTTCTTCTTCTTCTGCTGTGCTTATCAGTAAAATGGTTACATATTTACGTACAAATTAGATACATAAGTATATTTTTTAAATATGTGTAATATATATATTCACATGCATGCAGATAAACACTTACAAAGTAACAAGCCTTCAAATATGCATGTGATTGAGAAGGCCAGACAAAACCTGGCTACCCAACTACTGTCAAAACCATCCATCAAAATAAAGGTACAGAAAAATTATGTTAATTTATAGCAAGTTTATTCCCCGATGGTTGTAAAAGTATGATTAGATACCAATCCATTGAAAGAGTAAGACACATTTGTACATATTTCATCATTACATCAACACGTACAAACAACAAGCAAAACAAACCGGATAGCAAAATGAAAGCCCACATAAAGCATACTTAAAAACAAATTATTGTTGTTGTTTTTGTCTGCCATCTCCACCAAACAGATTCACCTTCTTCGCCTCCACTTCCTCCGGTTACCTCAACAAAGATCTTCTGTGTGCTCTTCATAATGCATTGCCATAAGCTGTTCTTAATTTGTTTGAAAGGCTGTACTTGAAACCATTGTTTTATTTTTTATCTTCCCTCTGCTCTGTGATCATTACATTTCTTCAACCATTGTTCTATTTTTTTTTTTGCACAATCTTCCCCCTGCTCTTTGATCACTATATTTCTTCAACGTGGTTCGCCATGTGACTTTTGTACCAATCTGAATGCTACGAAAACAGTCTTTAAAGGCATTTACAAAAGTTTTATTTCATCAAATTGTACATAAAACAACAGGATAGCAAAGAACAAAGGAAAAACCAATTTCCACATTAGGGTTTCAACATATTTGTTTCTTGATGTAAAAATAACATACGAAGGTAATAAGACGATAACTAAAATATATTCTTCAAAGTGGCACAAGATTATTAACTGTTAGAGCACTTGCAAAAATTAGATGCGTGTAAATTAATTTTAAAACAAAAGCAAGTACATATATGAACACCTATTTCTAAATGCTAAATGTTTTTTTTTTTAAAGTATTATAAATGTAAAAGCACAGAGTGAAGGGTTCACTTCTCCGTGACAAAATGTTTCCCATAATAAAAATGTATGTTCTAAAATCCACAAAGAAATAATATATGAGTAAAACAAAAGAAAGAGCACCGGATGCTCATAAAGTTTAGCCACCAGACAGTTCGGCCAGTGCGAGACAAACTACGTAAATCCACAATAGGCCAGAGTTAAATGTTTACCTTAACGATGACAAACACAATATATAAAACATTCCATGCAATCTTTTTTTGTCAATTCTGACGAGAAAGAGTATTCTGAAAAGCTATATCAATCCTACCCTGATATATGGAAGTCAATCATGTACAGTTTGAGGATTAGTAAAAGATTTTTTATTAGAAGCTGTGGAGATGTGCTTTTATAGAATAATGATAAAACCCTGGGCAGATAAAAAGAGTAATGAAGATGTCTTGAAAGAAACTAACTCACAAAGAGAACTGGTCGCCTATATCAGAAAGAGACTGACTATATTCTTTGGTCATGTCATGAGAAAGAGAAAACTGGGGTACATCAGGACAGTGGGAAGTTGAGAAGAGAAGCAGAGGGACACAGAGAGAGAATATGGTAGACAGTTAACATCATGGCATGGACAATCATATGTGTCAGAGTTGACTGAAAGTAAATGAGACAGAAGGCTGTGGATAGATGGCATAGACTTTAGGAAGAAAAAGAAAGACAGTATGTCACATCTGTTTAAAAAAAAAAAAGGGGGGGGGGGGGGGGGGAATTGGGGAATTGAGTTTAACTGACACAGTGACATTTTTTAAAACTTCTGTTCAACAGAATGTTAAGAAAACAGTGACACATACAAGATGTTCACATAAAACACATTTAGTTTATAAACAAATTCTTACTTTAGAAACTGAATCACTCTGGCCACATAAAATATCACCGGGATTTTAAAATAACAGGAATTAGTTATTATTATGAAAATAATAATGAGTAATTGAAAAACATATCCTAAAAAGAGATATCAAGATGTTTGTTTCTCAACGTAAAAAAAGAAAAGAAAAAATATTTACTGAGAACTTTTCAAACACAAAAATTCTATAAAATGGTAAATTACTATTTACTGAAGAAAACTCGGAAAGGGGGGGGGGGGGGGGGGGGGGGGGGGGGGGGGGGGGGGGGGTAGGGGGGGGATGTAACTAAAATCAACAAACAATAGAATGAAAGAGAAAATACTGGCGTTCTAAATGATCTAAATTTCATGAAAATTGGTTCATAAACAGCTTCATATCTCAGAAACTAAGTACTCTGGCCCAATCAAATATCATAGGCTTTTAGCCCCATCAAACATGACAGGCTTTTAGCCACATCAAACATCACAGGCTTTTAACCACATCAAACATCACAGGCTTTTAGCCCCATCAAACATCACAGGCTTTTAGTCACATCAAACATCACAGGCTTTTAGCCACAACAGGTTTTTAGCCACATCAAACATCACAGGTTTTTAGCTACAACAAACATCACAAGGTTTTAAGTACAACTGGAATCTTCTTCTTTTTAGCATTCACTGGCTGTAAACTGGTGGAAAGTTCTGGTTGTTCATCCACATCTGGACTATGGTCTTGTTCCAAAACTTGAGTTTTGCGTGTACATCTGTTTTACAGATCTGCTTATTATTATGATGCAGACTGTTGGTTTGTCATCTCTCTGGCAGATGTACTCTTACTTCAAAGTAAACAACCATAATTAGTTGCCTTTTATGACATACTTGTTCAGAGTCAGTGGTTCTATTCCCCCCCCCCCCTCCCCCTAAAAAGGCCCCAGAACCCACGGAGGAACAATGCAACATATGACTAGGAGGCCTAACAAGAGTAAGGAAATGACAGACAAAGATAAAACCACATAGTGTGACCAAAGTATAAATCATCAAATAAAACAGGAATCCCTACACCACCAAAACTCCCCCCCCCCCCCCCCCCCCCCACCACAAAAAAATGCACACTGGGAAAGAAGCAAAATAAAAACACAAAAATAGCAATCAGAAAAGGTGTTAAGAAATATAATTTAAAACAAAAAATAACTAAAACACACTAAAATAAAATTTAATATCAATATATCAATATTACAATATAAAAAGGAGGGGGGGGGGGGTGGGAACCGCCTATTCAATGTTCTAAAAAAGATAACAGAATGGCTACTGGTTTCCCCATTACCATTACCAAGTGTGAAAACAGCTTCAGAAAAGAAATCTACGAAGTAAAAACAACATTGTTACATCTTAATAACATTGTGGTAACTTTGCAGTGAAATTACTAATTTCTTGATGAAAACAGTTTACAAAGATGCTGTTTTTAACATTTAGCGATTGTGGCATACGGAAAAGGATTAAAATCAGCATATATATGCAGTATATATATGTATGTACGTATGTCCGTATGTATGTACATAGTATTACCATAGTACCATAGTATTAACTATGAAAACAAACAGGGACATAATTTCAGATGTGTACTTAGAAAACTGACGTCAATCAATATTTTATGTAATGCATTGTCACTTTCAATTAGGTACGATCTGTAAAAAAGATGTGTATGCAAAATCAGAACTTTCTACTGGAGTTTAATACCAATGAACAGAAAAGAAAGAAGAAGTAATATAAGTACCAAAAATGAAAGAAATTGTAGTCCAACAAACACAAGCTACAGCTTGCAGATGAGAGCAGAACTCATCATGGCAGCTCCAGTTTTCTGGCATCTTTCATGAGCAGACTTGCTTTGATTACTTCCTTTGGGAAGTTTCCAGCTCGCTTCTTACCGGATTTGTCATAGGATCCATGGGAAGTTTTTATGATGGTAAACTCATCTATAATTTTTCCATCCTGAAAGTAAAATATGGAAAACATGTCGGGAAAACCATAACTAAAAATAGATTTCTATTATTTTCCTGTGTGGGTTCCTGACTGTTTGACAGAAATCAAAAGGAGGATGGCCACAGCAATGCAATGATTAAACAGCATTAAAAGTAATTGGTTAAGCACCAGCAAGTAAATCAAAATTAAAATTTTGAGAGCATGCATCTTCCCTCTAGCAACATATGGATGTGATTCGTGGACTATCTCCCAATTCTTAAAAAAATAAAAAAGTGGGCTTTTTAGCTGAAATGTTATGATTCTCAGAATACCGTGGACAAAGAGGAGAAGAAATTGTGACATTTTAAAGATTTGAAAACAAAGGAAAATTGGCTAATAAACAGCATCCTGTCATGGAAGCTGAAATATTTTGGTCATATCAAGCACCATGACGGACTGGAAAAAAATAACATTAGGAGGCTTGGTACCAGGAAGGAGAGGCAGGGACCGACCAACACGAAGATGGGCACAGGATAACAGTGACTCCTTGAGTATGAAAGTACACGAGGTGGGAGAGCTGGCGAGAGACCGAGTTTCTTTCAGGCAGACTGTGATGACAGCAATGTTCTGCAAAGGACCTGCTACATGATGATAATGGCGGGTTCCTGGACCGTATTTTGGGAGGTAAAAACAAACAAATCCACTGCTCATTTTCAAGCACATTGTAAAAGTTGACTTTTTAAGAATGTTCTAAAATCAGGTGTGTTGGGCCAAAAGGTGCAGACATGACAGCCTATTTGAAAACAACAACACAATGTTCCAACCATCCTTTGAAAGGGTAAATAATGAAGAAGAAAAAAAAGCAACCGATTATTTCAAGTAACAGAGCTTGTCATGACTCATGTCAACCACATTCTTCACTTTTAACATATATAACAGTAAATAGAAAGACTGAATTTCAGCAAATATGACAAAACCACTAGACTGAACAATTTCCTGCCTGGTATATTTTACTGTATTCTGCCCGGTGCATTACTTTAGTAGCAACTGAATATAAATGCAAATAAATGAATCTTTTAAATGAAATACAAAATCAAGCATACTAAAAAATACTTGCCTGTTTTACTATCTTTGTTCAAATTGACAGTGAGGGCAACAGAGCTTTGACAGAGACCGAAGTGACAGATAGAAACATTTTCCTGCAGTTCTATCAAATATACTAGAGTGGTTACCACACCTGTTATGATTAAGCTCTGGTAATTTAAATCCACACTTTTACATCAGGTGGATATTGTCAAATTCTTCTTTGTTATTACAGAGGCATCTACGGAAAATAACAACTTCCTTCTCAGAAAAAATAAAACTTTGTTCTAAAATGCCTCATTTGTGCCATAAGATTTGAAGACAACATTTTGTCATCATATTAACCAACAAATCATGCCATGACAGACCTTTGTATTACATCGTGTGGATTCCAGAGCTCCAGTGTAGGCAACAAAACAATAATCGCACTGCCCCCTGATAAGCATGTGGCAGAAGGTGACTAATTATGGGTGTTTCCTTTGAAATTGGGGTATATCTGCCTGAGAGGCAGGAACCAACAGTCTCCAAACAAAAACTCAAGTTCTAGAGTAAGTCCAAAGTCCAGAATTGGATAAACAAGCAGAACATTCCACTCGAGTTTACAGCCGGTAAATGCTTAGACAAAGCCAAGATAACATACTGTCTTGTATGGTAAATCGCTGTTCATCAAAACATAATAATACATAAATTTTAATATACTCAATGGCACTCACAGATGCAAAGAAAAGAAGCAGAGACAGGAAATCATGGTAGCCTCAAGGGTTTTGCACGTGCTAATCAAGACAAGTAGTTCAATAATAAGTTTAATAATTGTCTTTTCTGTTTTGAATTTTTCTAATATTTGGAAGACAATGTCCCATAGCATACTATTAAATGCCTTTTGTAGTCATTTCTTTGATGTTAATTGTTTTTTTGGTTTTTTTTTTTCTAAACTGTCACCTATCAATTAACTGTAGTATTATCTTTAATCAAAATGAAACACTAAAGGAGATTTTTTTAAAAGATACAGAAGACATGAGGTGAGCTGGAAAAAAAAAAAAAAAAAAAGCAAAGGATAGGATTACTTGGTGCAAGTTAGATGAGAGTGTATATTCAACTGAGGGATAAACAGCAGAAAACCGCAATTAAAACATAAATATCATTCATTTAAGATAAAGGTAAGTTGGGTTATTCAAGAAAGACCAAAGAAAAAGGAGAGATATCTGAACAACCACTGGTATCAATAGTTATAAGACAAAGAAAATGGTGATATATTAGGCACATCCTAAGGATGTTAAACTTTAAACGAATTTCAACTTTCACTTTTGAGGATAAGTGATCAGACAATCACCAAACAGGCATTTAAATGGGAAACAACTAGACTGAGGAAACAAGGATGACCAAATGAAACTCTAAGATAAATGATGAGAAAAAGGGTGCTAGAGTGGATTCCATTCATTAGATTACAACAACTGTACAGCACATGATGGAATGTAAAAACAAAATATGAACCCTATGTGACATATAAAGGTTACAGTCAGGAGAATCCATTTCATTGCACCGGGTTTTATCCCATATGGCTCGGTCTCTCTCCACAGAATGGCTAGCCACCTGCAGAAAGCGTAGCACAGATCATGAACTCCGTAGCTCTGGCAATGATCCCCAGGGATCTCCGTAAAAATCTGCACTCGTGAACTGAAGGGCACAGCCACGAAATGAACTCATGACCTTCAGAGAGCGAGGCAAACGGCTTGACCACTTCGCCACGGACCCCCTCCCCCCAAAAATGGCACAAAAGCATGATGATGACGATGATGATTAGTTAAGCAAGCACCTCACCTGCACATCGGACACCTGTTCCAAGTGCACGTGAGTTTTGTTAAGTACATGCAGTCGGGTGTAGCCATAGTCCATGCTGCGGAACGCTGACCATGATGGAGGCTTCTTCACAAAACCAGAAACATTCTCTCTGCACCCCTGTTGAGTAAGGGCAAATTAAATTATGAATGCCGGCACAAGTAAAGGTGTTTTTTTTTTTTCCCCACTGGTCAATATGGCAGATAGGCTGGTTTACTGTTTTTAGTCAGGGCAAGTTTTACTTCTGACAAAAGTTAGCCATTGCATTTTCCTTCATTTGCAAACTAAAACAATATAGTTCCATTACCCAGCTACTGAGTTGAGTGCATGGCACAAAACTGTGAGCTGATGATTTCATTTGGAATGCTTTATGACTGTGCCCAATGTGGTTTGTGCTGTGAAATGTAAATTCAGAAAATGGTGAGTGGCCTGATATCAGAATACTTGTGGTGCCTTATGTGATTAAGTGGGTGTGCAACTACTGATCTGTTGTAACCGCTACTTCCATCAAGTTTTAACTGCATTTCTGGTGTGGGACTGTTTGTATTGGCACTTTCTACAGATGTATTATGCATTTAATGCACATGTATGCTGTTGGATTTAAAATAGCAATAACAGCAACAGCTGTTGCTGATATGCGACACTGCCGGCTTTTTGGATTCTTTATAACAAATTACAAATATGAAATATTTATGTTGCTGATTTAACTGAGACACATAATCTTCTTCTCAATTCGCCCTTGAAAAGGCAGTTGGCATTTTGCATTGTGGTTTGTTATTCTTTGTTTATTTCCTTTTTCCACAATTTAACTCCCTACTGTAGTTCAGAAATCTCCAGTAACTTTTTGAAAACATGCTAATGATTATCTGAGTGTTGCAGCTAAGGTAATTTCTTTGTAACAATATGAGGTGATCAGCCTTACTGCAACCGTCTGTATAGCATGCTTAATGGGTTACAGTCCTGTTATGTTCTTTGGGGGGGGGGGGGGGGGGGGTGTGTGGGGGGGGGGGGGAGATCTTGTAAACACAAAGCAATACTGTTGTTATAAGTGCTAACACAAATGGCAGCTGCCTTATGCATTTTTTACCTTGCATGTGCAAGCTCAACTCTTTTGAGTCCCAAGGAACGCACCATACGTTCATAGGTTCCTACCTAGAGGCCTCATAATCATAAGATGCGCCAATTTTAGGTCTCTTTTGACTAACCCTTGGGCCTCTGATGCTAAACCTCCTTGAGACTCAAAGAGTTTGCTGGGACTGACAAGTTTTTCCCAGATTTTCAGATGGGGCATGGAGAGACACTTTGTGTGATTTCCGCTGTCACAGAAATGGATCAGTTATTGGGCGACCTGTCTGCAGTAATGTTGGTACTTTGACTAATGACCAAGCTTTGTTAAATTAAATATTATGAACTCAAGCAAAGTAAAGAAGTAAAAGAAATGTCTGGATAGTCGCTAGTATCAGCAGTTATAAGACAAGGAAGATGTGATATACTGAGCATATTTTGAGGGGAAAGAAAACAGAGAATCAGGGAAAAGGCAATTTAATGTGGAACAAAAGGAAAAAGAAATGAGGAAGACACTAAAAAAAAACTAAAATAAATGTTGATGACAGATGTCAAGGAAGAGAGGTGGAGGTGGTCAGGTGTGGTCGGTTCTACTTCTCACTAACTTATTTGTAGTTTATAAGGGGGTTAGGTTAACAATAAAACTGTACTGGCCAGGACAACAAAACAAATGCTTAAAATTAAACACTGACCACTGTCCCACTAAGCAAGAAAACTACTATAAAACCATCATCACAGTCTCATAACAGCGCATGTCAATGGGTCACCAGCTACTGCTGGCTGTCTGATTAGTTCCCCCACTTATGTCAGTCAAATGCAATATTTCTGCAAGTCTGGGGACAGTCCATTTACGCTTTCCTATAAATTAATGGACTGGAAAGATGAAATGGTGCTAGCACAGAACATTTACTAGCAATCACCAAATTTCAATTTGTTCCATACAAGGGAAATGTGGTGGCTTTCTGGGATCAAATGGACAGTAAAAATGGACAAATAGAACCCCATTAGTATGGGAACTCTTTGCTGGCAACACACGAAAGGTGACAGAACATGTACGGAAATGACACAGTGCAGTCAAGTCAATTCTTGATAAATGCAATCATACAAGGGGGATATCTATATATATATATATATATATATTTACCGCCTCTCTGACAATAATATTCCTCATGTGCCATGTCAACAAGTGTAGGCTATTATGTATCCCCATTTTACACGATCACCAGAATTATGAATCAGGTCTGTGTTTTTACCTGATCTCATCCATGTGACCAAGCCATTCAGGTATTTTTATCCATGCCCTCCTCCTGCTCTTTTTTCCCCCCATCAATCCTGCCAGTTGCTCCCAAGTTCTCGAGTACATTCCCTCTCATCACATGTCCAAAAACACTAACTGTCTAAATCAGTGATTCCTAAACTGTGTGCCGTGGCACCTAGGGGAGCCGCGACCTCCTCACAGGGGTGCCGCAAAATATTGTAAAAGCTTCATAATTAATTCACCCAAGACAAAAAGAGTCATACTTTTACTTAGGTTAAGGCGCCCTATAAAAATTTTAATTGAAAAAAGGTGCCACAACCAAGAAAAGTTTGGAAAACACTGGTCTAAGTCAAATTTCCCTAACCAGTTTACAATTGTCATCCATCTCAAGGAGTTTCTCATTTGTTTTTCTATCACCACATTACATTATATACACTCTTTTCACAATCATTCATATTTCACTCAAGTTTCTATTTCCCTGTAGATATTAACTCCACTGGGTATATGCTGCGAAATCTGGGATTGATAGATATAATAAGATCTGACTGATACTTAGTTCCCCTCCTTCTGTATTTTCCTTCTCAAACATTTCCAGCAAATTCTCAACATTACCCAGTTTAGGAGATTGTGTTAACCCTATAACTGTACTCATGAGGAAAAAAATTCTGTCAATGCTAAGGGCTGATCCTAGAGCACCTTCTTAGCAGGAGAAAAAAACTTAACCAAATCACCATCACCAAAATCATGGTCTCATAAGATAGCATCTTGTTGGGTCGCCAGCTGCTTCTGACAGTCTGATCAGTCACTGCAAAACTCTCCCGTGTGTACAGTTACCCTCGCATTTGTCCCAGGTGTTGTTGGCAATGAAAGAGCTGACAGACTGGCATTTTCTGCTTTGATTTTAGAAGGCCGGCCCATCGATCATGCAACATTGTCAATGCCCTTAGAGAGATAGGACGTTGCGAGGATTGCAGCGCTGATGAATATGTTGAAGGGGAGATCTGAGATCTGACATGCCCGGAGTGCTGTGAAGATAATCCTGGCCAGTCCTTTTAGGGTTAACCCAGTGTTTCCCAAACTTTTCGTGTTCGCTGTGCCTTTTTTTTAATAAAAGATTTTCCACAGCCCCCTAAACTAAGTAAACCTATGGCTAATTGTGTCTTGATTAATTATGTAGCTTTTACAATATTTCGTACGGCTTCCCTGGGCGCCGCAGTGCAGTTTGGGAATCACTGGGTTAACCCAACCTCATAAACTGCAACTGGTCAGATACAAAGTTTCTGCATGTTCAAGGCCTGTCTAGTCAGCCACATTCTGCATCCAGGTCTGTCTCTTTTCCTTGTGACCTCTATAGAGATCTGTAATACGCTACCATAGATGAATCAAAATAAGCAAATAATAAAAGCCTTACAGCAGAGCCTGTAATAATGTGAACTGGAGCTCCTGGGTCAGTGTAAGGATGTTCATAACTGCCATTCATAACCTGCAAGTGCAACATAAATAAACTGATCATTCACACAATATATAACTTAGAAAACTAACTAGAAATTTTGATTTTATATTTGTCTGTAATTATTATCTGTTATCATTTGTTAAGACATTAAGGTTACATATTTCTTCTTTTTTTTTGCATTTGCTCTTAAAATGGTAGTCAGCATGTTATATTGTGGTTTACAGCTGAGCTGCAATATCTGCCCACCACACACAGCAAACCCTTAATTAGTTGCCTTTTACAACATGCAGTTATGATCCGCTCGTAACTGGCGACAACCCTAAAAAGGAAACTTTGCTCTACAGATGACACAGTCATCCTTTTGAACAATGTAAAGGAAATAAAACATGTAATCATGTCAGTCAAAAAAAATGGCGAAGATCAAAACCTGTTCTTGAATTTAAAGAAAACAAAAATAATGTCCACAGACAAAACTGCCTGTCACCCAAAAATAACAATAAATGACGAAGGAATTAAAAATGTGACAAGCTTTGAATATCTAGGCTCCATATTAAACAACAAAACAGACTGTTCTACACAAGCCAAAAGGAGGATCGCCACAGCAATGCAAAGATTAAACAGCATCAAAAGTCTATGGTTAAGCACTAGCAAGGAGAAAGTCATAGGTTTCAGAGCATGCATTTTCATTCTTGCAACACACAACTGTGAGTCGTGGACACTCTCCCAGTTATTAAGAAATAATATAAGGGCGTTCGAGCCTAAATGTAAAAGAAAGCTTCTCAGAATACTGTTGACCAAGAAGAAAAAGAAATACTGAGATCCTAAAAGATCTGAACATTCAGAAAGAATGGCTAGTACACAGCATCTTGCCTCAAGAACTATAATATTTTGGCCATTTCAAGTGACACAGTGAACTGGAAAGAAGGCATGAACACCAGGAAACAGGGGCAGGGTTTGACCAGCACAAAGATGGGCAAGGGATAGAAGTAAAACCTTGGGTTTGTTGTGATCCAAGAGTCTGTTGCAAGGGTCTGCTGAAATCAGAAGTGTTGGGCCGAAAGGAGCGAATATCACAGTATAAACCACAATACAAGCCAATTGTGCAAGCTTAGAATAAGGAAAAAGAAGGAGGAGGAGGAACAAGAAGAAGAAAAGGAAGTGGCGGAGGAAGAATAGGAGAAGAAGAAGAAGGAGAAAAAGAAGAAGACACAACACTATGAATATGTCATATATAAGATCAACTAAAGAGTAACAAACCGTTCTATTGAACAGCGGCCATAATCGCTCATAGGAATGTTCATGAGCCCAGATTGTCAGATCCACTCCATTGTCATAAAGAACATTCTCAAACTCGTGTTTAGTCTGGAAGAACAATGTGTGACGTATTAAATACACATAATCATACAGGTTATTGTCAAATGCAACAGTTTCATGAAAAAAGCCTACTAAGCTCATAAAACAATTTTTTTTTTAAAGCCAAGAAAGCATAGTGACTAGTGCACATTTACCTGCCAGGCTAGTTGTCTTAGTTTAAATTTCTTTCAATGCAAGTTTTCACAGACGTATGCCCCTGGAATGAACCCAGCCTCACCAAATACATGTCACACATCTAGAAGGTAATGTGACCAACAGGATACTGATCAAGTAACCTTCTAGGCAACATTCTGTCAAGCAAATATGGGCTTATCTTTTTCCATTTGTAAACACTGCCTGCCATCTCCACAATGAAGGTTGGGTGCAGTGTGCTAGTGATGTTCTTTGGGAATGGTATATGGTGAAAACCCATTCACCTTTAGGACATGACTCTCCAAATATTGTTCAAAAGGCACGAGAGCTGTTTTTTTTATTTTAAAACCCTTTCGTCCAGGAAAGACTTAAAAAAAAAAAGGTCAATGACAATAGAATTCCAGAAAATAATTTTCTTTACATAAATTACAAATACATTTAAAACAAATTTCTATTTATCTACTTTATCAATTTGTTTTCTCGAAATACAAAAAAAAAAAAAAAAAAAAGGAGTAAACAGTAAACACAAATGGGGGAAACATTAAATGGAATACACCCCCCTCCCCCTACTGTTAAAAAACAGAAAGACTTGTATCAGGTGACTCATGCTGTGTCTCGGTAACTTCCATCACTGAAGGTTACAGGAAACAATTTAGCTCACAGGACACCCCCCCCCCCCCCCCCCCCCCCGCCTTTTCCCCTTTTTAAATGCTATTGTTAGTTAATGTATTCATATTCTCAGCTGGGGTATCTTCGGAAGAAATCAAATTTCTACCTGGCTAATAGAATCCCTGACATGCGTGTGGCCACCAGAAATAGATACTGGCCAGAAAAATCTGTGAGCTGCAAGGGCCATAACTAAAGAAAACAACAAAATTAGATAAAACTGCTGAATGCGAAGTTCCCTAGACGAACTGTCTTCCATTAGATAGACAACGCAGCTCTTTAGAAACCTACAGATGGACTGTCACTGCAGTGGCTAGACCTGATGGCTGTAATCTCCATGACAAGGACACCTTGGTGCAACTATGGGGTGACCCATTTGCTATTTAGCTGAAACTAAGATTACCAGATTACCTTGGTGATCCTGAGCAGTTTAATGTTGCAGCACTAGCCTTCCTGGTTGGATTTTGCAGTCATTTTCAATAGCATGAGGTAAGCAGTATTAAGCCAACCCTACCTTAGTTGTCTCTTATGACATGCATGGTAGGTTAATGTTATCACTCACTGCAAATATAAACCTGAACTACCATCAAGTAGCAAAATCATACAACAGCCAGGGCTAGACTGTAATGTCCTATAAGGGATATGCAACTAACTCTTTATATTTATTTTGTTTCTATTTTGTTTTGTTGAAAAAAGAAAAAGACACTGATCTTCAAGAGGCTAACTGTTGTACTCAATTATCTGCAGCATGATGACTTCGATTTTTGTTCAGCCTATATAGTACACAGCATTGAAAGTGATTATCTTGAGCACGGCATATAATAAACTTAAGATAAATTAGACCCCTGCAAATATTTGCAGACTTTATAAATATACCTTCTTAAAGTAAACCATCTGTGGCGTCGGAGGTCATGTCTATCCACAACCTTCTGTCTCGTGTACTTTCAATCAACTCTACACAAGACACTGATAATCTTCCATGCCATGATGTCAAACTGTCAAGCATCTTTTCTCTACGTCTTTCTCTCTATCTCTTCCCTCCAGCTTTCCTACTGTAATGATGTACTCTGGTTTTCTCCTTCTCATTACATGACCAAAGAATGTAGATTGTCTCTTTTTTATGATGTGGGCAATCAGTTCTCTTTGTGAGTCATATATATATATATATATGTGTGTGTGTGATATTTATGGCAAAGAAGGTCTAAGCATTATTCTATATGCTACAACAAAAGACAAATCAATAAAAGAATAGTGGGGGGAAAAAAGCAATATAAAACTTAATCAAATGACCACATATCATGGTTGTGTATATAAAATAATGTTAATAGTTAGTACTCTTACCATGCCTTCATTCTTTGTGCAGTCATCTGTATCTAAACTGGAGCAGTAGATGGGTCGATGTCCAAATACTATGATCCATGGACGAAGCTTACGATTTTCTGGTTTATTGGCTTCCTGTTAAGTCATGACAGTATTTAATTTGCTTTGTTTTAGGCAAAACAAGAACAGCCCCCACCCTCCCCGCCCACAAACATGTCGTTAGATTCGACTAATTGGAGGCTTCCTGTGAAGTCAAAGTACATCTGCCTGAGAGGCAAGGAACCAATAATCTCATAAAATAAGTCAGAGCTGTAAAATGGATATGCACACAACACTGAGGTTCTAAAGTAGACAGTGGATGAACAACCAGAACTTTCTGCCTGAGTTTACCTCACAATGCCAGGAACATTGTAAAATAGTTAATAGATGACGGATCAATATCACGGCACAAGGGTAGTAACCCATAAATGCTCGGTTCTACTTCTGACTCAAGCCTAAGTCCGAAGTATCTCAGCGCATTGCACGAACTCTGTAGCACTGGCAAGGATCCTGAAATACTTTGAGTAAATTTTTAAACTGCAAACTTTGCCCTGGCAGCGCCATTAGGCTACTCTTTTCGATTTCCAACTATAAAGGGATTTTTAAAGTGAGCAACAATACACACTGGCGTCTGATCTTACTACCCAGAGACCAGGGCAACTTACTAAAGTCCACGTGAAAAAATCCCAGCCTTCACCGGGGCTTGAACCCGATACCTTCAGCACCCAAGGCGGACACCATGCCTCGAGCCCACTCAGGCCCCATAGTTAATAGAAGGAGCCATATAAAGGAAAAGCTTGGGTACCCTGCGTCTACCCCCTCTAAACTCTCAATAAAGCACAGGCCCTCATGTTTTGTCTAGGGTAGCCTTGCTTTAAACAGGCTAGATTTTACCTTAATTGTCTCTTATGACATGCATGGTAGGTTAATGTTACTAGCCTCTGCTTCCCTTATTGACCCTGATAACACAGTGGTAAACATAATAATTTAACTAACATTTTCATCAAGTACTCTTCCCATATGTCCGATGTGCCAAAGAGTAAAAAGGGAGTTTTGCTTTACTTTTTACCGTCTTTACTCTTTTACTTATTGTGCCAACTGTCATGGGATTTCATGAATCTCCATAATTTTTACAACTCCTTAATTATGTCAGTTTTATTAACCGGTTAATTTACTTCTTAATCTTTTTCTCCCAATACAAGAATTATTGTATACATATTATGCTAGTCCCATCATTTTAGATCAGCATTTTTTTGGGTGGTGTCATCAATTTAACGTTGGCTACTTTTATTTCCAAGGTAAATTCCCAATACCCACTTTTTGCTGTATCTTCTTAACTCTTAAAACACCTAACAAAAATACCTTGCATTACAATATGCCCACCACCTTTTCCACAGAAACAGGAAATTTCATACTACAAAAATGTTTGGTAACTTTCTGACTTCTCCAATTTTCTCATCTGCATTTTTTTCCTAATGGAGGCAAGGCCCTGGAACAACTCATAATAAGCCTTTTATATACTTCGTAGACTAGTTTATGATTGGTCAGACTGTAGACTAGTTTATGACTGATTAGACTGTAGACCAGTTTATGATTGGTTAGACTGAAGACTAGTTTATGACTGGTTAGAGTTTAGACCAGTTTTGACTGGTTAGACTGTAGACCAGTTTATGGCTGGTTAGACTGTAGACTAGTTTATGACTGGTTAAACTGTAGACCAGTTTATGGCTGGTTAGACTGTAGACTAGTTTATGGCTGGTTAGACTGTAGACTAGTTTATGACTGGTTAAACTGTAGACCAGTTTATGGCTGGTTAGACTGTAGACCAGTTTATGGCTGGTTAGACTGTAGACTAGTTTATGGCTGGTGGTATTTTGCAGTTAATGCTTTCTACAGAATGAGGTAGCCAGCCTTACACCAATCCTCTTTAACTAGCTCTTATGGCATGTACTGTAGTCTGCAGTGTTACCATTCTTTGCAGCACATAAGTTATAGGCTCTACTATCACAAAAATGCGGTGAGAAAAAAGGGTGTCAAACTGCTAAAAAAAACATGTGTGGCTCGTGCACATCAGATATGGACAAAAAGCAGGCGCGCTAAATAAAAATGAAAAAAAAGCTACTCACAGCCTAAATGTTGTTTTTGAGAAGAATGCAAAGTGAATGATAGAAAAACAATGAGGCAGTCCTTCTCAAGGCCGACAAAAACTGTAAACTGATTAGAAAAGTTACAAATAAATAGTCAATGTTTCTTTGGACTTGATGTGAGAAGCAGCCGACTCAAGAACTTGGTAACAAATGACAAGATTGACAAATAATTTGTTTTTGTTTTTTCAATGTCTTCTGTTAAAGAAAGGGAAGGCAAAGAAATAAAATACCTGCATAGCTTGGCCATATTGATAGGGTGAGAAAATAAAAGAGACCTATTCTAGTGATCATGTCAGATAGTGAAACATGGCTGCCTATGCTTGCAGACATAATGACTGTGCTTATAAACTAAGTGATGGGAAATTAACAGGCAGAGAGATTGGCTGGTTCTACACCAATGGGAGGGGAATTTATGCACAACAAACAAGATGTGGTCAAAGCCAGCACTTTGGGAGCAAGTTAACAATGTGGAGGCACAAACAGCTCACTATGGTCTGAAGAGAATCGTACAGCTAGGAGTGACCACAGAATCTGGCTGACACTCTACACTCAGAAGAAAAGCAAAGAAGACATTTAATCAAACTGCCACTGCCGCCATTAGCAAAATAACTCTTTGCTTGCTGCTGAAGATGAGGATAAAGTGCTTATGGCATTTTCCTAAGCCCTGTGATGTCAGTTCTTAGCTCCATGCTCACTCAACTAACTGTACACGTGCAATATCCTTCCTGTAGTAACTGTTAGTTTACAATGTCACATGTCCTTTACTTTAATTTCAAATAAACAAGTTTGTTATAGTTTGTAACTTTAAAGTACCTCAAGATCTTTCTTTAGCCAATAATACTGCTTGACGATTTGTTCAGGCCCATAGTACCAGAAGAAGATCAGCTCAGTTGACAGTGACACAAAATGGACTGGACCCATGTTAAAGCTGAGATTAAAACATAAATAAATATGAGATTTAAGAATTGCATTTTCTGTGAAATTTCCACTGATCCTTTGTTCTCTTGTATATTTGCCTCTTACTTCATTTGTATCTTATAGAAATAGCTTCAGTGTCTTAAGTTACAAACAAATAATTAAATTTCAATGAGTTTTGACATTTATATAATCTTTGTAAAAGGTTCAAATCACTCAATAAAAGCCTACCAATTGAGGTCATGTTTACAAAAGGTTAAAAAAGATAAACTTCCTTACACTTGATTGTTTCCTATATGGCTCTGCTCTTCTCAACATAATGACTAGCTGCCTACAAAGAACATCACAAAGCACAAACACAGCAACTCCAGAGGTGACACCCTTTCCCCAACTCCCTCTAGAAATATTTGAAAAAAAAACTGTGCTCAAGAGCCAAGTGATTCAGTCCATGAAATGAACCCTGACCTTTAGACCATGAGGCAAATGGCTTAACCTTATTAGCCAAACAGACCTCTTAAAATGTATGCAAGATGTGGTGTTCCCAAATGATATTAACTACTCTCAATGTTGCTTGACACTGATGATCAACAGATAACCGGTATTTTTCCCTATCTTTCTCTTCTGCATTCCCAGCTCCCAATGGAGCACAGGCCCTCAACCAACTCACAATAAGTTGTTCTATCCTTTGCTATCGCATGCAGCTCTCCCTATGTCCTCCCCATCTTTCTAACCTCATTCACCAGCTCCCTTCTCTATGTGTTTTTAGCTTTCTTTTATTCCTATGCCCCTGTGGGTTCCAATGTAAAGACATTCTAGGTATATTGCTTCTCCTGTTTTCTCAATGTGTGTCCTATCCAACGCCAGCGTCTTTTCTTCACCTCTTGGTCCACTGAAGCTTGCTTAGTTCTATTCCAACGCTCTACATTAGTGATTCTATCATAGCCATTTAATTCCCTCTATTCTATACAGGCATCCAGTTAATGAATGTCTATACTTTATTAGTAACTGCCTTAGTTTCACTATGGTCTGTCACTAACACAGCTTGGCCAGGTTTCAGTTACCACTTTAGATCCATAGGTAAATAAAAAATGATGACGGAAAAGTACAGGATACTTTTCTTGCCAGCAATGCATCAGACATATTTTTACAGACATCATGCCAGCTGACTTTACTTCCCATGACATTTCTTGGTACTCATTTAATGAGTTAATTATACAAAATATATAAAGTTATGTACAAAGTGGATTTAAACTGGCAAAGCTCATGATGTGGACTGTTAAACTCCCAAAGGCTGTTATTGAGTAACTCCCAAACTGTGATGCTGTTACTGTTAGTGTACTCCCAAACTGGATGCTGTTACTGTTAGTTTTAACTGTTACTGCGATAGTGTTACTCTTAGAGTAACAAATTGCGATGCTGTTACTGTTAGTGTAACTCCCAAACTGTGATGCTAATACTGTTAGTTTAACTCCCAACTGTGATGCTGTTACTGTTAGTGTAACTGGCAACTGTGATGTGTTACTGTGCTCCCAAACTGTGATGCTGTTATTGTTAGTGTAACTCCCAAACTGTGATGCTGTTACTGTTAGTGTAACTCCCAAACTGTGATGCTGTTACTGTTAGTTTAACTCCGAAACTGCGATGCTGTTACTCTTAGAGTAACTCCCAAACTGCGATGCTGTTACTGTTAGTGTAACTCCCAAAATGTGATGCTGTTACTGTTAGTGTAACTCCCAAACTGTGATGCTGTTACTGTTAGTGTAACTCCCAAAATGTGATGCTGTTACTGTTAGTGTAACTCCCAAACTGTGATGCTGTTACTGTTAGTTTAACTCCTAAACTTTGATGCTGTTACTGTTGGTGTAACTCCCAAACTGTGATGCTGTTACTGTTAGTGTAACTCCCAAACTGTGATGCTGTTACTGTTAGTTTAACTCCTAAACTTTGATGCTGTTACTGTTGGTGTAACTCCCAAACTGTGATGCTGTTACTGTTAGTGTAACTCCTAAACTGTGATGCTGTCACTGTAACTCCCAAACTGTGATGCTGTTGCTGTAAGTGTAACTCCCAAACTGTGTTGCTGTTACTGTTAGTGTAACTCCCAAACTGTGATGCTGTTACTGTTAGTGTAACTGTCAAACTGCGGTGCTGTTACTGTTAGCGTAACTCCCAAACTGCCATGCTGTTACTGTTATTGTAACTCCTAAACTGCGATGCTGTCACTGTTAGTATAACTGGCAAACTGCACACAGCTACTTTTAAAGTTATGTGGGGAAAAGTTCAGGAGACTTAATCAGACTGCCACTACCCCATCAACATAGGAACACTTTACTGGCTGCTTAAGAAGGGGACAAGGCATGTGTGTGAATGCTGCAAAAAGAAAAAAAAACAATCTTAAAATAAATAATTATAATGTTAATTACAATTATTAAAGAAAGTGCTTCGTTTTCTCAAAACATAATAATTTCAAGATGTGTCTACAAGTCATGCAGCAAAGAATCAAGAAACTACTTTCACAAAAAATTAATGTTAATTTGAATACAGATAATGTTTACCTGTAGTATGTTCGGCCCTCATCTCCTGGCATATTAAAACGATGTCGGTAGTGGGAAAAGTTACTGTGTGATGAGAAACAAACTGCAAAATTAAGGCCCAGAAATCACTTCTGTCCTGATTAAACAAAATAGGTCATAAACAGAGTATAACTTCAACAACAACAAAATGTAAACTGATATAAAGACAACAGGTAGGAAATAATCACATGAATGTTCATGTCAACATTATTAAAATAAAATAAGTGGAGGAATTTTAATATCTAGGAAAAATATTTACAGAAGAAAACCGGGTCCAGATAGAAAATAAAGCCGAAAAGGTAAATACTGTCACTTATCAACTGGCCCCACCGGTCCAACACAAAATAACTGTTTCAGCATGAAAGGCAAAGTACAAGCAGAGAAAATATCATTAACACTGAAATGAATAATAATGAATCTCTGATACTAACACAAATGAGTGACATTGGAGTAAAGAGTGGTGAATCATGTCCTTGCCACCTCTGAAGCCGGGATAGGAGATATTATAACCAGCTCCTCATAGGAACAATCAGTAGAGGTACTCTGGAGTCGTAGTAGATTTTTACCCCACTAGGACATCAAACAAGCAATAAACACCTGATGACACAAAGTGCCACCATGTGGATGAGGATCACCGTGGAGAGGTCCCAGGAACCTCATTCAGCCACCAGGCCATATTTATGGTCGGGCCATATTTCAGCCCCTGCCAAGAGCCAGAGTAGGGCTTCAAACAAAGAAAAATTGCATCTCACAAAGAGATGACTGGATTCATATCTCTAGAGTGGCTGCTGTATCGAGTGAATGAGCATGCATGGGTATGCTCAATGTGCAGTGTCTGTCATCGATTGTAATAACCAAACAGGAACAGAAAATAAATACCAGTGAATTGTGTGGTCTCCAAGAGATCACCAGCAACACAAGAAAGGAGATGGTTTCAAATACTAGCTTTAGAAAGAAGGCTGGAACAAGATTGTGCCTGAATTACATGGAAGGACAGAGAATGCAGTGGCTTGGCCATCTAGTAAGAATGCAACCAGACCAAACTGTACATTAGATCTTCTGCACAGAACATAAGGGCGGAAGGTAAAAGAAAGACCGAAGAAGTTATTATGGACAAACAATTTAGTTAGATCTTGCAGGCACACGAACTTGCACGCATGCACACACACACAATAAAAATATGAACACTAGCCACTAGAGAAGTTTGAGACAAATACAGAAAACTATGATACGGGCCTACAACCTGGTAACAGCATAAGACAAAAGAAGAAGAAAAAAACACAAATTACATCCTTGTGTCTTTATGTTATTAAGCAAACAAGCATTTTATTTCTTCGCTTTCTTTATCTATGTTCTCTTAACGTGTGCTTTTTAAAAATATTAAAAAAAGCAGTCTATTTCTAGAAGCTAGTTTGCAATCTTACTAGGCTTCCTCGTGATTTCCTGGACACGTCATGTATGGAAGTCGTGCGGCCAATGGCTGAATCTGTCTCATAAATGCATTCCCGACTTCTCCTTGAAGCTAGAAAAATTTAACAAATTACTGATTAAATAATTAAGAATACTGTAAGGAAATCCAAAAATAATGACTAACAGCAACATGTAAAATTATTTCAATACAATAAATTGTTGTTTCACTTCCTTTTTGGCCACATAAGTGTGAAATGCTCCTGCTGCAAGCAAATCTGGTGATACCATCCCTAACAGTCTTTTTCCAGACTGCCTAGTTCAGTTTTATACACTCTTTTCAGCAATTTTTTTTTCTGCATTCCTTTTGTGCTGAGCTTCAGATTCTCCAAACTGTTGCTGTTTATATTTTCAATTATTAAAAAAATCAAAAAAGAGTAGCCTAACGGCGCTGCCCGGGCAACATTTTGAGTCAAAAATCAACCCATAGTATTTCAGGATCCTCGCCGGTGCTACAGAGCCTGTGCACTGTGCTGAGCTTCTTCGGACTCAGATTTGAGTTAGAAGAAGAAAGGAACACTTATGGGTTACACCCATGTGCCATGATGTTGATCTGTTGATCAAAACCTCAAATATAAAACCCTTCCCGTGCGGAACAGACAGACAGGACAGGACAGGACAGAGAGAGGGAGAGAGACACGTGATGATGATTCAGCACTTTTGATCAGACTCAAATATACTTACATCAGCCATGTCGTATGCAAAGTCACCTGAAAATATGTTAATTCGTTTAAAAAAGAAATTATACAAAAACAAAAATGTTGTGCATTTACTGTAGATTAACTGACCTGTGCCGTTTAAACTAACCTATAATGTAAAATGTGATATCTCAACTGAAGGAAAAAGACTTAACCAAGTCAATAAATTCATATATCTGGGAACAATCATATCATCAGATGGAAAATGTGTGACAGAGATGAAAAGCAGAATAGGTCAAGCAAAAGCTGCATTTCAGTTAATGAAAAATATCTTTTGCAATAAATTGCTCTCATTTAATCTCAGAAAGAGGGTGCTAATATGTTACACAGAGCCTGTTCTGCTGTATGGCAGCAAATTTTGGAATGTCAGTGAACAAATTAGGAAGAATCTGTGGTTTCTGAGACGAATGTTACGAATACCTTGGGTGGCCAGACTAACTAACAACGATTACTTGAAAGAAGCTAATGAAAGTAGATCTTTATATACAACAATAAGAAAGAGACAAACACTGTTCTTTGGCCACATAATGAGAAGAGAGACATTGGAGAACATCGTCACAACTGGAAAGATTAGTGGGAAAAGGGGTAGTGGCCAACCAGGAGAGATGATGCTGGATTTACTGAAATGATGGCATGGAGGGATATCAAGATAGCTGTTCTAGGCAACCAGAGATCGTGATCTGTGAAGACACATGAGCGCCTATGCCAGTTGGCAGGGCACATGATGATGATGATGATGTTAAAAAAAAACAATAATTAAACAATTAAAACACACCAGGTGACAGTATTCAATAATCAGAAACAATATTCATTTTCTTTATAAGATTTGTAAAATGCTGCGATACACAGGGACTTTCTTTCTGGCAGCCTGCAACGGTATTTGATACCAGTACCTTGTCTATGCGTAAATTTGTAAGCAATTTATAACATACTCTTTTTGATGAGCACTGGCACCTTTTTTTTTTCTTCCTAGCAAAAAACAATCTTTGATAATAATGTTTCTGTCCTAAATCTACTGGGACCCATAAGGGAAGCAAAGAATAGCAACACTGCAACCTACCATGCATGTCATAAGAAGCAAAAGAAAATATCAGCATAAGGCTGGCTATTTTATACCATAGAAAAAACTTTAGCTGCAAAAATCGACTAATTATGAACAAATTAATTAACAATTTGGCATTAAAATGTACGTCATAATCACAAATGTAGAGCTCTGAGAAACAACTAGACAAATTCCAGTGAATCGAGAAGTTAGGAAAAGATGTTGGCATTGGATAGGATCAACACTGAGACAATCTGATAACAATATAACTAGAATGTCCTTGAATTGGAACCAGGAGAATCAGAAAAAAAAAAATGCAGACCAGAAACACATGCACGAGAATAAGTGAAGTGCAAAAGCTTACTAAAAGGATATACGGTGAGGTGTTTGCGAGAGTATAGAATAGGACCACTTGGTATTAGTTGAGGGCCTAGGCTCTGTTGGGGGATAAAGATCAAAAGACAATTTTTTCAAGTAAATTAGGTCAGAAAATACATAATTAGAATTAGGATAAACCCTGTGACTCTGACTACATAACTAGTAAACCAGTTTAACATAGACTTTGAACTAAACAAGAACATCTTGTAATAATGTGCTCCATATCAATGCAAATAAGCTTTTAATGTCGGTTAGGAATAACTTCTATAAAGAATACATGTATTCACAAGTCAATAAATATAACATTTATAAATTGATTTTCAAAACTGACTTCTAACATTTGAGAAAAAAAGAGTTTTTGAATTTAGATTTGAAAAATAAGACGCTATAGTTCGGTGTTGGCATTTTTAAATCCATTAATCAATGATGGATGCATCATGAAAGATTGAAAAATAAATTTAAGATAATTCCACATGTAAAAAAAAAAGAGGAGGAGAAGGGGAAGAAACAATTCAGAGGGCAGATGAAGAGGAGGAAGAAGAAAGGAGGAGGAAAAAATTAAGAAGCTGAAAAATATGATAAGTTCACAGCAGCAGTTACAGAATTATAGTTTAATTAGCATATAATAAACACTTTCAGGATTATAGTTTAAATAGCAAATAATACACTAAGAATGATAGGATGTCTCACCAACATGCAGGACTGCATCGTACATGCCAGCATATGCCTCTTTTTCCAACCTAGTCAAAGATTGTGCATTGACATTACCCATGTCTCCATACACAGCAAGACGAGGACTCCAGTCTTGACCTGCAGGCATTGCTCGGAAAGTGAACTCATCTGAGAGTTCGTACTCGTTGCCCACGACATAAGCTGAGAACAATACAAGGATCAAGTTATCAAGAAAACATATCTGCTTTAAAATTCTTATTTATAACATATTTATCAGTATTTAATAGCATATCCCCCACAGCCGTATGACATTTTGTTTCTTCTTATTTTATTTTTTCTTCTTCTTCTGCATTGAAGCATAAAGGGGCTGTAAGCATACTGTGTCGTGCGTTACAGCTAACTTGTGAAATCTGCATTTTTAGCCAATAAATCCAATTTCAGCACATCCTTAATTATCCCTATTACAGCATGCTTGCTAAGTGGCAGTGGCTCTATTTCTCCCCTCTCCTCCCACCTGAAACTGGGGCCACCATTACCCACAAGTTGAATTTAGTTTCAAAACTAGCAAATATTAATTTTTACCCAATACAGGAATAATTGTTACTGCAGGAGGTTATGACTTGATATGGTGGCACCTTTTCATCTTTCCAGATTGTAGTGTCATATTTGCTGTTACTTCCAGTGCTAACTTATTGAATGATGTGTGAGTTGGAAAGCAACGACAGCTCTAGATAAATTTAAAAAAAAAAAAAAACTTAGACAATTCTGAGAACAGATGTCTTAGAAGAAAACTATATCTCCACTGGACAGATTTCAGACCCAATATGTATATAAGACAAGAGGCAACGCAAGATAATGTATCCAGTTTTATAAGAAAGCACTAGTGGAACTACATCGGCCATTCACTTAGAATGGATAAGACAGGACACCCTCATCACAGCCCTCATATGGACACCAGAAGGGAACAGAAAACACAGAAGACCAAAAAAGACCCTGTTTAGAACCAACATCAGGGAAGGCTCACTCATGTGCCTAATGAACATCTAAGACCTAAAACAGGTGAAAACGAACCGCCAGACATGGAAAGCTATGACCTCTATGTGCCGTGCTAGACTCAAGATAAAAAGACTAACTAACTGTCCTACATGGAAAGATGGGAATCACAGCCAATGACTGGATAAAATAACATAAAAAGGTATGATGGGATCTGCAGATAAATAATAAACACAAATGCAGGCACATACTTTACAGGGTTCTTGAGCCAGGTCAATCTATGCATTAAAAACATTACATAGTTTATCACATAAACTATAGGTGGTTGCTGGCATAATTTATTTACCATTGTCACTCAAAGATTTGCCATTATTCTGTGTGGTGTTTTTGATTTAAACACACAAATATTACATTACTTTTGTGACAACATGATATTTGCCTCTGTCAACAGAAAATGGGTAGCCAACTAATTATAATAAACTTTGTAATGATCCATCATAAACACATTAGCCCCTTTGTTTACATAAATCATAAAATGTTTAGTATAACATGCACAACTAAACATTTTCTTCCCGCTAAATTCTGGGTGTATGAAAAAGTATAAAAAGTATGCAAGTATGAAAAATATATCATGTATGGCCATTCTTGGATAAATCATTTATACATATTATATATGAATGCATATTATATGTGAAATATTATGTTACCTATTTGTATACCAATAGTTTTGATTACAATGACTTAATTATTTTTTGTGTATTTCTACAACTTCTAGAATACTAATAATCCAAGATTTTCAGAAAAACTGCTCATAAATAGGATACTTTCTCGGAAACTGAAATAATTTGGCCATATTATATGCAGAAGAGGTTTAGAAAAAGCAAAATGGTAGACACGGTTTTTGGAAGGAAGAAGGAGGGCATAAAGATAGACATGGGACCCTGGTGACAACTTAGACACGAAAAAATATAAGTCAGGGCACGGCATGATCGGTCACTATTAGAAATATTTGTGCCACTGATAAAAGAGTGCACGGTGAGGAACTGGGTCACAACACCGCCCAGCAAAACAGCCCTGTAGTGAGTGATAGTTACCATGGACTGAGGGTGCTGGGAATGGATAGCTGTTGAAACAAGAGCATATGTGCAACAGGGGATCAATGAAAATTCCCATCCCTCAACACTAAGGGTGAAACAGGCAGACTTTTATGAGATTGGTACTACTAGCATTCTGACTCTTTACCGGCCACTGAGGAACGAGAGCGACCATGTGTAGGAATGTCCCCAATTGAGAGATGAGATTGGTACTACTAGCATTCTGACTCTTTACCGGCCACTGAGGAACGAGAGCGACCATGTGTAGGAATGTCCCCAATTGAGAGATGAGATTGGTACTACTAGCATTCTGACTCTTTATCAGCACTGAGGAACGAGAGCGACCATGTGTAGTAATGTCCCCAATTGAGAGATGAGATTGGTACTACTAGCATTCTGACTCTTTACCGGCCACTGAGGAACGAGAGCGACCATGTGTAGGAATGTCCCCAATTGAGAGATGAGATTGGTACTACTAGCATTCTGACTCTTTACCAGCACTGAGGAACGAGAGCGACCATGTGTAGGAATGTCCCCAATTGAGAGATGAGATTGGTACTACTAGCATTCTGACTTTTTATCAGCACTGAGGAACGAGAGCGACCATGTGTAGGAATGTCCCCAATTGAGAGATGAGATTGGTACTACTAGCATTCTGACTCTTTATCAGCACTGAGGAATGAGAGCGACCATGTGTAGGAATGTCCCCAATTGAGAGATGAGATTGGTACTACTAGCATTCTGACTCTTTATCAGCACTGAGGAACGAGAGCAACCATGTGTAGGAATGTCCCCAATTGAGAGATGAGATTGGTACTACTAGCATTCTGACTCTTTACCAGCACTGAGGAACGAGAGCGACCATGTGTAGGAATGTCCCCAATTGAGAGATGAGATTGGTACTACTAGCATTCTGACTCTTTACCAGCACTGAGGAACGAGAGCGACCATGTGTAGGAATGTCCCCAATTGAGAGATGAGATTGGTACTACTAGCATTCTGACTCTTTACCGGCCACTGAGGAACGAGAGCGACCATGTGTAGGAATGTCCCCAATTGAGTGATGTCAAATTCTTGATTGATTCATTCATTCATTCAAATATAAGGCAGGAGAACTGACCAAGTATCTCTCTGGTGGGCTATGATAGGAACAACATCCTGCAATGTACATGCTACACAATGATGAAGACATTTTTACAGATATACTGGGTAAATAATATGTGACAGCTGACAACTTACTGTAGACGCTGCCGGGAATAAGGTCATCTAAAACAACATTGCTGAAGAATTGCTTTTTCTTCTGGGAACCACCATCTACAAATAAGGTACTGCTGCCAAGCTTCTTTTGTGTGAGCTGACCGTTGACACCATAGAGAACCAGACTTTGGTTAGTACTGGCCTCCTGACTCCAGGATATCACCATTTCATTTGGTGTTGCTAGACAGAAATTGATAGAGACGACTTACTTGTGTATGGAGACAACAAAGTACATCAATTAGTTTTTCTTGTTTTTTTGTTTTGTTCTTTGGGAATACAAACCCTCAACTATCTCCAACACAGGTGCTGGAACCTGAAGACAGGTCCCTTGAGCCCCGCCCCCCTTTTTCCCCAAACTACCAACAAAATTGTGGGGCGGGGGTGTTGGGGGCTGTCAGCCCACCTAATAATTTGTTATGGGGACTAAAACACCCTCTTTAAAAAATATGTGTTCCTACACATACTGATTTGCCATTCACCACATTAATAATAACAATAATAATAATGTGCTTAGTAGCAAATACACATAATAATGAAATGTACAAACTAATTCTGTAAAAGATCATTTCTATACATGAACGCCATTTCAAAATTATTGAGTGGGGGGGGGGGGGGGGGGGTGTGTGTGTGTGTGGCCCACAGCTGAGTGCCCTTTCCCCCAACCACTTATTGCCTACAAAATGACCAGGGCAAGGTTGGGTAGGGGGGGGGGGGGGGTTAGCGCACCAGTGTTTTCTAAATTTGTTTGGAGGGGGGGGGGGGGGGGGGCCTGCAGAAATCTAGTCATCCCCACCCTTTGCAATATTTCTTAATTTAATGGGACCTGAGGTCTCCCCCCCCCTCCCTTTTTTTCTTTCAATGTTTGCTTAGAAAATTTGTAAGGCAGGGGGTTGAGTCAGGTCAATATTTTCCTAATGGCAGCATGCTTGATCTCAAAGTTTCTTTTCCTCTGTTATCTCCTGCCTGAACTCCAAGCTTCTTGTACTCTTTTATCTCCTGAAGCTCCTTCCATATCTCAAATTCCCAACTTCATGATATTTGGTCTGTTGTGTCAATTTTACACTACAAATTACCTGTATTGTATTTTGTGAATTACATTTGGTATTGTATGTTGTGTACTGCACTGTATATTACTTGCGTACAGAGATAGCATCATTCATTTAAGTGAAGGTCTATTTAACAAAGATTACTGAGGGGCGAAAACTTACAAAATGAGGATCTTCACGGGCCAGAGGCTTGGGCCTCAGCTCAGAAAGATCATCAATACAACTGGCGATGATCCATAGGCCACTTGCTAGGCCTCCACAGGCCAGATATGGCCCATGGGCCACCAGTTAAATAGCCCTGATTTAGTGCTTTTTTTTAATTGGTCAAAGCATGGGGCCGACATCCTCACCCTTGAAAAACCTTATTTCGTCATGAAATCCCACATTTTGATGGATTTAAACAGAGAAGATATTTAGTTGCTAAGAGATTCGTTAAGAAACAAAACAGTTGGCTATCCGCCTAATAACGGCCACATATTATGGCGGCCAAAAACAGGGCCTCAGTCACATGTAAATTGCTGACTTTCGGCAACTATACCACCACCTCCGAGAGTATCTCCTGCGCCGCTAGTTGCGCGGAGCGGGTTTAAATCTAGATGGCTGGGACTCACGAGCAAAGCTGCAGGAGATGCGGAAGCTGCTGCTCGTGAGTCCCAGCCATCTAGTTTAGCCACAATCCTCGCCGCTCGTAGCGGCGTAGGAGATACCCTTGGCAGTGGCGGTAGTCGCCGGAAGTGCGCAATTTAAGTAGCCGGAAGTCCGCAATTTACATGCGACTGAGGCCCTGTTAGGGTTTTTTTGTAGACGTCAT